AATACGGTGGGGGGGGGGGGCTAACACGGGTGACGACGCATCTGTATAATCTGCGGCAAACCGTTTCAGGGTGTTCTGTACCATAAAAATAGTACAGAGATTCTTTTGTTCTTTAGACCAAATTGATTATTAAAAAGAGTGAAGAATACGCATGTTAATTTCTCTAGAACGATGTACCTCTGACGAAGACATGAGATCTCCGACCTCTAGTTATAAGTGTTTTAAACTTTTGACCAATTCTTGATATCAAGTGTTTGGTCATGTACATTTATGATGCTGAAGAAGAATGTACTAGTATTCTATGTGTTGGAACACAGTTCAGTTATCTGCTACATGTATCTCTCCCCAGACCATGTTGCGGTACAAGTCACCCCTGCTGCAGGTACTGCGGACCCTGGTGTACTCCCCCCTGCTGGTGTTTGGTGCAGCTGAGCAGAAACAGGTTCTGAGTGTGGTGCTGGCTGAAGAGTTCCAGGAACCTGCTGTAAGTCTTGTTTGTTTGTTTGTTTGTTTATTCTTCAAATACTCAAATAGACCTACAGGTGGCTTTTTTTATTTAGGCCATGAGGGAAGAGGTTACATCATAAATTTAAACCACAAATGGTATTACAAAAACACATAAGATGTATATTTGAATAGACCTTGTATAACAGATCAAGACATAACTTGAGTGTTTGTCATGTTTTCCCCAGCACAAGCAGACAGTGGGTGTGGTAGTGGAGATCCAGACCAGGAACATAGAGGTGTACTCAGCTGTACTCAGGGTCAACGCTCACTTCAAGGGAATCAGGTCATTCAATACATGTACTTCATTAGATTAGAAGCACAGATGGATATTGTGCAGACTTCACTTGATTAGAAGTGCAGATATTGCTACGTTGCTGCTAGAATCCTATACATGTATAAGGGTCACATGAATTTTTTTCAAGAAATTTCTTAACATTGCTTTTGTAAGTAATCCCTTACTTACAAATCATTGGAAATCAATTTATCTTCTCAAAAGGAAAATCTTATGAATGTTTTCTAGGAAAACATATTGTTCTAGTATTTAATATTTTTTTTAAATTTTCAACTGCAGGTACCTCATGTTCTACTGGCCGGTGCTGTCTGCCGTTATCGGAGTTGGTTCAGTCTTCAGTTTCCTCCTGGTCCTGGTGCTCCTGTCCTGGTACCGCTTCTTCTGGGCCCCAGAGGAGGACTTTGTGGTCACCGTCAACATGGAGCAAACACCAATCAGCATGGAGGAGCGCAGGAGGAACGCTCGCAAGGCTTTAAACAGGGAAAGGCTTGGTAAGCAACAAACCCCGTGCAGTTTACATCTATGTCTACAAATGAAGCACTTTCTGTATGTTTTTACATCTTGAAGCCTGTTGTGTAACCTAACTGACTGTTTCAGCTTTAGGACATCATGTGACAGTCCAGGCCAGCATCCAGGGCATGTCAACCACCACACAAACTACCCCCACTCTTGCCAGAATAGGTAGGCCAATCAGCACCAATCAGTGATCATTACCTCCTTTCACCAATCAGACTGCATGATCCACATAGTGATTAAGTCTTAGTTATTGTGTAATCTTCACTGTTGTGCATGGGTAATGTCTGTAAACAGTTGTTTGGCAGTGTCACAATTAAAACCCTGGTGCCTATTATCACCAACATACTGCAATGCTGTTTCCATCTGACAATTGTCTTTTAGATCCCCTCCCATTTGAGGATGAGGAGGATGCAGAAATGAAGGACATCTTAGGGGACGGAGAGGATGAAGATGAGGCAGATGAAAAGGTAAGTTTTCATGCAGGATTTTCATTTCATGGACCTGAAGACTGTTGTCAGTATCAAAAACAACAGTGAGTAATGTCCTATTTGACTAGCATTCATTGATACTTGACTATGGATAGATCTTGGATCAGAGTCTTGTAAATTTCTGGTCACAACTAGTTCACTTATTTTGGTTCGACTTTCTGCCAGTATCTTTTGTTTTTGTTGAAACACTGTATTTGTTGCTCTGTTCTCTAGGCACTTCAAGTTGATGACATTGACCCTGGTGACAGTCAGGACCAAGACATGGAAGTTCGTCGCAGAGCAGCCTGCAAGGACACAACATAGGAAGTGACTCCAATAGCGACAGTGCTTATGCAAACCATAGCAATTGTATACCTTATTGGCTGGTAAAACTCAAGTATTGAAAGTCAAAGATCATGTTCTGAAATTCAACATTTTTTTGTTTTGATATGTATACTTTGTGCTTATACTGTTAATTTATTGCATATGTTATACTATTGTGGTATACATGTATTATATAATTTGAAACAATTTTGAAGTTGAGTTGGCTTGCATCATGTATTTGAGAATCATGTACAGGTGTGTGGATTTCTTTATGCAAATTGCATTGCTGCTACATGTATGTTGGCTCTTTGCCATACCTTATGCAGTGGAGAGCAAGTAAAACCAAAAACAAGAGTTGCACTTGAAAAAAATAATTTATATACAATGTACTGACACAAAAAGTACAAAAATGTTTGTTTTCTTAATTTTCAGGAGAATATATCGTTCAATAGTTACAAGGTGTATGGTATTAACTGGGACCAGATAACAAGCGGTCTAACTTTACTAAATAAAACATGGCTTGAATGACCCAGCAGATTACTGGTATACTGTAGGGAGATGTTGGATGTGAAAGTGTGCAGTGGACAGGGATCAATGTTGCAGTGTCAGCTTGCTACAGTGGTAATGTACAACTGTGTAACAAACAGCCATGGGATGGAATGTATAAACTACACAGGAGCGAGATAGAGACCAGTCATCTAGCCTATTGCAACCTATATGTACAGTAATGCCAGAAACAACAACAAAGAGAACATTAAAGCTTGAAAACAGCTAAAAGTCCTTGGAACTAGTTTTCTATGACATTGTCTACACATTTTGACCATACATGTACATAACTATACATAGCTGCTGTCCTGCCATAACAGATACCACATTTAACATACCACATTTTTAGAAGGTAATGTTACTCCTAATTAGTCCATATGGGTAACATCAACAATACTGCGGGTGTGGTAGTACTTGTGTCCTTCAATATTCACATTACAATACATACATCCACAAGTAGTACTGTAGTATAAGAGACGTATGGCTGAGAGAGCCTTCATTTCTTCCTGGTATACATGGTCGAGTATTTTTCTTTGAGGACACAGCTCTGATGTTGGTTTGTCCTGTTCACACCATTTTGCTTTTTGTGTCTAGTCTGTGTCTCTTTGACTGTATAGCTGACAGTACAAGTCCCACAGTGTGACCAAGGAGAGCACCAATGGAGCAGGGAATGGGCCAGACCTGTGATGACAAAAAAAAGCACAGTGTAAATAATCATATGGTACTTCTGACAGCATTACAGAACATGCCAAATACAGTTACAGACTAGTGCAATGTACTTAATGTACTTAAGAGTGATTTTATAGTTTCATCAATAGGTTACATGTACTGGGGGACTGTTGATCTGATACAACCTTGTAAATGCATTTAAACCACTGTTACCTGCCATGGCCGGTCCCAGTCTAAAGGAATGGGGAAAGCTCCCAACCAGGCTCCAACCACTGTGCACAACACTGTCGTCTGCAGGAAGCTCTCATTTTCTGACTCAGGTCTAGGAAGTAAAATACAGAGGGGGGTAATACATGTATACAAAAATAGCCAAACCTGTCCTCTCTGATCACTCAGTGCATTTCAATAAAATGGTCACAGAATACAGGTGGCCACTATGGACAGGATCCTTAATTTTTGGTCAATGAGAAGAATAATCTCGGGCCACCAAAATTATGTCACAATGACAAGGTGGCCCTTATGCAGAGGTTGTCACTAGTACATGTTTGACAAGTTGGTTCTGCAGTGCTTTCTTCATGTACATGTAGAAGGCACTTATGATAGAGATAGAAGCTGTGTAATGGTACTTTACCTGTTGAGCACGACTGCCACCCATGTTTCCAGACGAGATCCCAGCATGCACCAGCAGGGCAGGGCTGTGAGGGTGGCCATGAGCAGGGCCCAGGAGAAGGTTTCCTCAGTGTCTCTGTATATTACAGGCAGCAAAGAAGGGTCAGAAAAAAAGTGTCCCCCACAGAAAAAAATGAGGTTGCTGGAAAAAATCAGGCAACTTGAATATGAAAAATAGAATCTTATCGACAACTAAATAATACTTGTACACATGTATTTTGAACCTACTCTTGCAGAGGAGCTCCATACAGCACTGCTATGATGTGGAATGACAAGATACTCAATAGGAAGAACAGGAACCCTTTCACAAAGGAGGAAATCTGAAAAATAACATTTTGTTTATAGATTCATAATATTTAATAACACTATTCTTTCCTTTATCTTTTTACTTGTTGATGACCTGTAAGCAATACCAATGTACACGTAGGTGCATTTATGCGCCCATACCCATAGCATTTCAGATGCTTGAGGAGAGCAATTTGATACCGGTTTTAATTCTACAGATTTTAATATGTATCAATCACACTTTCGAAAACTAACAGACCAACCCTAAACAAACCTTCCATCCCCTGACAGGCCTCCCTGACACGGCACCAGCGTTTGTAGCATTGTTCTTCTTCTGAACATCAACCTTCAGATGAAACTGTACAGCCCCATAGGCCACACAGAAGTACCGCAGGAACACTGTGGGCTTCAGCAATAAGCTCCATGATGTCAGATTGGACAGCAAGCAAAGCGACAACAGCGCAGCTACTCTAGAGAGACACACGTTAGCAAGGCTTCTCATTGCAGATTAGATGACATTGGCCGGTTTTCACCCCGAAATCAACGGGAAAATGTGCAAAACACGAAATTTTCAGCCAGAGGCTGCCATCTTGATGACCTTTCACCTTTTACAACAAAACGCAAAAAATGCAAGATTTGTGTTCATGAACCTTCGCATATATTGATCCAATTTTGTAATGAAAAATATTTTTCTTTTATCTAAAATACTGTATTGTATCCAATTTTACCGCACAGTTCGTCAACTTTCATTTCGAGAGTGTTCAACCTTTGAGTAGTGATGCTGTCAACTCTGTGTAGACGAGCGCATCGGCCATCGCCCCTCCCCCTCCACTTCTCTTCTCTTCGAGGAGAGATTTTAAATAACAGTAAACTACGTGAGCACACAGAAATTTTATCATCTGTTATCTGAGGTAGGCAGTTTCAGGATAAGTTTTATGTAAGAATTATGATATTTGGACATTCTGGTGTATTACAACTGTATTACATGTAGTTCAGGTTTTTATAAATAGGGAGAATCATAAGCTCATATTCTATTGCTCATATTGTTGTTCCAAGGAGCTCCTTGATTGATTGAACCTCCTTGGTTGTGCATATAACAACATTGTTACAATCTAGGCATGACCTCCTGTCGATAGTGCGAAAATTTGTATTGACAAGAACATCCTGTCAAATGTCAATAGCCTCAGTCTCTATTTCAGCCCATCCCTCAGCCATGGTGATCTACAGTGTGTTTGTGGTCAACAAGGCGGGGAGCCTGATCTACCACAACGATCACTCCTCCTCACGCCCAGAGGTGGAGAAGACCTTCGGGTACCCTCTGGAGCTCACGCTCAAGCTGCAAGACGAGCGTCTTCTCGTCATATTTGGGCAGCGGGACGGTATCCGCGTGGGGCACACGCTGTTGGCCATCAATGGAGAGGATGTGTCAGGAACAAAACTGGGAACTGACAAAAATGAGAGAAATGTAATGGACGTCCTCAACGATCCCAGCAACTACCCCATCTCCATCAAGTTTGGCAGACCGAAGCTGTCCAGCAACGAGCGCATCATGCTGGCCAGCATGTTCCATTCCCTGTTTGCCATTGGCTCGCAGCTGTCGCCTGAACCACACTCGTCAGGTATAGAAGTACTGGAGACGGATGCCTTCAAACTGCACTGCTTCCAGACACAAACAGGTAAGCTTTCAATTGCTTTTGTTTCTTTTGTCATCTTTAGAGAGGGAATGCAAAATATTTTGTACATATGCCACTCTTATGTGAACATCCTTGATTGAACTGATATATGTTCATTCACAGGTTTTTTCACTTACCAAACATTATATATTTTTCCTCAGGTATAAAGTTCATAGTCCTGACGGACCCGCGGCAGGGTGGAGTGGAAGCCATCCTACACAGGCTGCATGAGCTGTACGCAGACTACGCTCTGAAGAACTCCTTCTATGCCCTGGACATGCCCATCCGATGTGAACTGTTCGATACAAGCCTTCAGGCAGTCTTAGAGCAGGCTGAGAAATCAGGTGTCTATTCAGGAGTGTAGGTCTTCGGGAGGGATATACATGGATGTAATTTAGATAGCTGTTATGTAATATATGTCCTTGTAATATTAATCAATGATCTTTCAAGAAATAGATGTCCTTCAACAGGGACAATGGCAGTTGTCTATGTTATGTGAAGTTACGGCCTCCTGGTATAAACCTGGAGCAACTGATGTAAGAGAGGTCATGCTCTTAAACTTTCCATGAGGTCTTTAAAGGTGCCCTAAGCGATATCAGGGCATTAAAATAGGAAATATTTAGAACAAGACAATCTGTATGGTATTGACACATACCACCAAGTATCAGCACATTTGCATCATTATTTCATACGTTTGGCGTTTGAAGCAGCACAGAAACTAGCCCAGAGACAAGTTGCTTGATTTATCGGGGCCTCCATTTAATCGGCCCAAAAATCCACCAAGTAACCGTTTCCCGTCGACAATTTTCGGGAACTTCCGCGAAAAATGGAACGCACTGCCTTGGTTCCATGGATCGAACGCAAGAGTTCGAAACCGATTGACTTCAAATTTGACGATTTTTGAATGGTCAGAACCTTGTATTCAATTCCTCTTTTTGTATATACTTGAATGTTATCATAACACTTATTATATCGCATGTGGTAGCCACATTCATACAGTTTCTCATACCAACGGAAACGAATTTTATGACA